CCCCTTTCTTTTGTCTCCCTCCTCTTCTTCTCCTATCCAACTGTTTTTCCCTCTCTCTCTCTCCTCTCTGCTTTTTGCGCGCCTGTTTTCCTTTCTTGATCATCTGAATCTTGGACACGTCTTGCGCTGCTTTTCGCGCCTCGTTCCTTCTCGCTCTTCAACCTTGGCTCACGAAGCCCAGTTGATCCTCCGATTATCCCTGCTCACCAATCTGACGCGTTGAGCAAGAGGATCTTCCTATTGCGCGRCGAATCTGATTGGCCGAATATCGGGTTCCGAAAGATCAACATGGCTTCCCTTGAGCACCCCTCGCTGAACCTTCTCCTCTTACACTTTGAATTCCTCTCTGTCTTCTCCCCCGTCTGCCTCCATTCTCGCAACTATAAATTCCGCAAGCGCGCCCACAAATCTCTCTTGCGTTTTCCACTCGCAAGCCAGCTTCCGGGAAGCAGTGGTTACGTGATGCGTTTGGTGCGAGTCGAAAAGTCCTATCGGGTTCACTGTACACTGGCCGGTTGCGCACTTGATCGCCACGACGGACTGTGGGATCCGAGCGAGCCGAGTCGAGTCTGCATCAGCGGGGTGACGATCGCAGTGGCGGAAGTTAGCACGCGACGGCCGGGATCGTCGGTGCGGGTGTGAGTATCGATAATTAGAGTGGAGTGGATGATTGGCCCGGGGCCATACTAAGAGTTCACGACGAATGCGCCTTCATTGTGGATCATTTTTTTTGTGTGAGTTCATGGCTGCGAAGCCGAATGTTCCCTTGTTGGATTCTGATGTCTCCTATCTCCATATTCTTCGACTCTCTCTGTCTTTCTCTCTCTCATCTCTCTCTGATTTGAATGACGATGTGTTACGAGTTTGTCTCTCCTGTGAACCGAAGTGAACTCTTGTGACTCCCTGCGAAAAAGAACTTCTTCCGAAACTCTTCCATTAGTTTCCTGGGTAATCCCTGGATGCAAGGGAACCCCATCACCTTGTTTTGTGAACGGTGGATGCGTGTGTACAATCCCCCGATTTACTTCTGACGTGTGCATCGTTGTCATTTTCGCACCTTCCACAGTGGATGTATGTATAAAGATGCTTGTATTTCCGCGATGATTAGATACATATCTTAACGGGATTTTGTTCGAGAATGCAGAAGTGTTTAGATATGTCGTCCTGAATGCACTACGCATGCCATCTGCCTTATGTTGCCCGACATCTGCAGACAGTTTATGGGGCCGCCTCGAAAAAGCCAGGCGCCTCGGATTTTTGCCGATCTGTTCTACTGAAACTGAGTCGCAAGTTGATCCCTCGAAACCCCAACCCGATTATTTGCATGGTTGCATGGGCTATGAAAGATGTCTCCCTCGTGTCGAAGGGAAGGAAAATACTAGTTACTTCTTTTTCGATAATGTTTTTTGATGACGTCTCGGGGTTTTTGCAAACTCATTTTGATTGATTGATATGTGGACTAATGGCCGCTCCTCGATCGGGCGCCAGCCTCCCGTATCTCCCTCGCCAACGCGCCCCTACGAGAAGCTGTCGCACGGATCAGCGGACAATATTACTTCCCTCCCGAAAATCGTTGTTCCGGGTTCGTGGATGCGGGCTTTGTCATTATCGATACGCACTTCCCACCCTACTCAGTACTGTTGCCATTTAACGAGTTGATCGTCATTCTGTGGACGGCATTGTCGCCCCATTGGCCTCGAACCCTGTGCACTGAGTGCCAGCGTATCGATCGCTACGAATGAAAGGGCTTTCACTACGGATTACGGAGTGACGACGAGTACAAGGAAAGAGCCACGCGGCTAAGACCATCCACGTCGGACTCGGAATTGACCAACGAGCGACGTCGGGACTTGATACGGAAACGGGACACGCGGAGTGTACCAAAGCCCTTCCGCTCTAATCGAAGATCCGTAGCGCGGTGGGAAACTCGACATTTCTTTTTGGATTGAATTTGGATTTTTCTCTTTTCGCGCTGTGCCCGCGCGCGCATTCCGCGACGCGCGAAAGCAACCGACTTACTTCATCGGGCCAACACGGGGGATTTCAGTTCTATCTGTGTCCCCACACTCAACTTTCGAAAAATCCTTGGCACACCCTAGGGCCTTCTTTCCGCACTCTTAGCACTCCGAACGGAAGACAACACAGGGCGTGAGGTTGCGCGTCACAGGCAGGCCTTGCATCAACGTGGAACGGAGACAATCACGAGAGGGGTGCAACGGCTCCACGTGGACGATTTCCCGAAACACTCGCGGCGACATTCGAAGCTTATCCCGAAAGTAGTCGTTTGTTGCATCGTCGCATTGCTCGAGGTCTTCCCACGTGCCTCTTGTCCTGCGCTTCACCCACCACCGCGGCGTCGCACGAGGTATCACTCCGCAACCCAACGCGTAGCACAGCTGAACAACAGCCTCCGACGTCGCCACCTATTCGGCCCCATCGCACGGATCTTGTGTCAATTTCCTCCGTCTACGCGCGCGCAACTGCTCCTTCAGTCACCCCAGAGCCCTCTCCTGCTGACATCGAAGAACGATCCTGGACACGGCCATCGCCACTGCCTGCAGCTCACGAGGAGTCAGCACATCACGTCTACCCTCTGCGTCGCCCTCCATAGCCGCGACGTGGAAACGGTCCCGTTGTTCCGCTGCCGTCTGTGTCGTCCTTCCACACCCGACGAAGAAGACGAAGACGTCCGTCGAAAGGCGGCCCCTTTTCTATGCTTACAGTCCCGCACATGAAAACGAGGAGCAACGCGTAGTCGACGTGTGCAAAGGTCCACGGCGATGGAAGAACCACACGCTGCCCGCACAGTCGCAACGGCCTCGGGACGGAACCTCATCCGCCGCCGAGCCCCTTTCCGCAGCACGCCGCCCTCACGCCACCAGCCACACGTCGTCGTCGTCGTCGCAGCAATCGTTCAAATTTCGAATTTGAAATGCCCACGCCCTTTGGGTTAAATTTATTTTCGTGTCGCCCGCCGTCTGCCGTTTCCCGCCTCGCGTCGCTGGACCATGCCGCCTCCACACAGACAAAAGAAGCTGGACCAAGGACGACAATCCCCGCGGCCGTTAATTTACGTATAAAAATGGCCGCGGGGAAGCCACAAGGAAACATCCTCGGGGGACGTCCCCAAGGATGAGTGGAACGACGCCGCAAATTCCCCTAAAAAAACACAAGGAC